TTAGAAAATTGCAAATATATATTTTTGGGCAGCAGGAGGAGGAGGTGGAGGCGGAGGTGTTTTGGGTGGTTGGGGGCAAAGATTTAAACGGTTATTAGGCCTAGAAGTTGGAGTTTTGGGTGGTTGGGGGCAAAAAGTTAAACGGTTATTAGGCCTAGAAGTTGTTGGAGTTTATTTAGCGAAGATAAACACAAAGTTATGGCAATTATTAATTTCAAATAAAAAATCGGAAATTGAATATAAATTATGAAAAACATGAAAATATTGAATCAATGTCAAATGGAATGAGTGAGAAACAAGTAAAATAGTATCAGTCGGTTTTGCCGACTGATGTATACCCCCAGCCTTGAGTTATGATTATTCAAACCCTGTCACATTTGGACTATATTCCAAATTCCTACACTTTAAAAGAGATTTTTGGCAAATGTAGAAATAAGTGTGAGGTAACAGATATACAGATTAAAATTTTGGTATGTCCAAAATTTCAAGAAAATCGAACATTTTTATATCCACTTTTATGCGAAATCATAATTTCCGATAAATTACATATTCATATCAGATTTCTGGTTAAGGGAAATATTTAGATGTAGGAAATTTTAAAGACACGCTGACTTTTTTCGCAAACGATGGCAGATAAAATTAATGAAAATTGCTAACCTTTGTGGGAGAGGTACCAGAAGGAGTGGACCGATATATCCCATCTTCACAACAGATCTAGTGTTAGTAAAAATAGTGGGATGTGTGAAATATGAAGAGAATCTGATGCTTATTTCGTATAAAAACCGAACGTATTGGTTATTCAAAACTTTGACCCTTGTTGTGGGAAAGGTACCAGAAGAAATGGTTCGATCTCTAACGTTTTTATAACAGATCCTGTATTGATAGAAATATTCAGATGTGCCAAGTTTAAATGGAATCCGATATTAATTTCGCGTTTTATGAGCTCAATGGGTATTCAAAATTTCGACCTTTTGTGGGGGGAGGTACAAGAAGGAGTGGGCCGATATATTCTATCTTAACGCCAGATTTTAGGGTTATAAAAATATTGGGATGTGTGAAATTTTAAGACAATCGGATTCTTACATCATATTTTAAAAGAGTTATAATTATTCAAAATTTTGACCCTTTGTGGGGGAGGTGCTTGATGGAGTGGACCGATATTTTCCATTTTCGCATCTGAACTAGCACTAATGAAAATATTACGATTCGCAAAGTTGGAGCGGAATCGGATTATTCCTTCTCTTTCTTTGCAAAAAAATATTTTTTTTTTGAAAATTTCCACCATTTGTGGGGGAGGTACCAGAAGGAGTGGACCGATACATTCCATCTTAACACCAGACCTTGGGTTAGTAAAAATATTGGGATGTGTGAAATTTTGAAGAAGACAATCGCATTCTTACATCACATTTTATAAGACCTGTAATTTTTCAATATTTTGACCCTTTGTGGGGAGGTACTTGATAGAGTGGACCGATATTGTCCATTTTCACACCCGACGTAGGACTGACGCAAATATTATGATTTGCAAAATTGGAGCAAAATCGGACTATCCTTCTCTCGCTGTGCAAATAATATATATTTTGAAAATTTCACACAAAATTTTGTGAGGGAGGTACCAGAAGGAGTGGACCGATATTGCCCATCTCCGAACTCGATCCAAGTTTGACAATAATATTACGATGTACCAAGTTTTGTCAAAATCGGATACTCCCTTCGAGAGTTATCATGTGCACCAGCCAGACAGACAGACGGACGAACGGAAGCACATCGCTAGATCGATTCCAAATGTCCTGAAACGGATTTGGTCCAAAGAGACCTAGGGCCTAAAACCGTTATTTCGACTAGGCACGTTTTAACCGAATAAAATAATATATACCCTCTGAGGGTATAAAAAAGAACCAATAGGTTTGCCGATAGACTCAGAATGTGATCGATTATAAAAGAGTACTGAAATATTGGACTGACTGACTGAAACCATAGACTTGAAATTTTGATGACGGTAATTTTTTGTCCGAAAGGTTTTTGGAAATACGTACTAGAACTGACGGAGAGTATGAATAGCTACTAAATATGGTACCTTTTTTATTTGAGGAAGATCTATAAATTTTAAATTTGGAATGAAAGGGTTCTTGGAAATTCCCACTAAACAGGGTGAGATGAAAACACTTCAACCAACTACAGACTGCTGTCATTTCTAAGCTACTCGTCCGACAGCTGTTAGAATTATTCCAGTGATAGCTCATTATATTCTTTACAAGCGTACAAAAGCATTTTAGTGAAAATTTTCAAGAAGAAAAGTTATTCGTGATGGAATTCAAGCCTGATAATGTAATTTCTTTATATTTGGCTGGAAAACCACAAGTGGCTATTGTTGGAGCACTCCAGCATTTAAATGTGAATAAATCTTTTGTGTCTCGTACCATCACTCGTTATATATTCTATTCGGCAAATATTGCAAAATGAGCTCGGGGTAAAACCATTAAAATTCCAAAAAGTGCAAGAACTTACACCGCAACAGAAAGATAATGGACGCAAAAAGAGCTACAGAGAGTTACTTCGCTTGGCCGAGAGTGGTGAACTGTCGAATTTGGTTTTCTCCGTCTCCGATGAGAAAACATTCGTTGTCCCGCAGTTTGTAAGCAAACAAAATGATCGTGTTTACTTGCTAAAGAGGTCAGCTGAAAATGAGCACCTTCGGTTGGCCACCAGAAATCAAGCGCCGGCCATGGTGTGGACCGCCATAACAGCCGATGGTCGCTTTCCGCTCGTATTAATCGACCGTGGCATCAGAATAAATGCCGAATATTATCACGAAAATATCCTGGAGGGTGTATTAATGCCTTGGGCACGCACACCTGTATCCGCAGACCTTGGACATTCCAACAGGACTCTGGGCAACCAGAACTCAATCGCCGGCCATGGTGATGGTGTGGGCCGCCATAAAAGCCGTTGGTCGCTCTCCGCTCGTATTAATCGAACGTGGCATCAGAATAAATGCCGAATATTATCGCGAAAATATTCTGGATGGTGTTAATACACGCAAACATTTTGGCCGCAGACCTTGGGCATTCCAACAGGACTCAACACCACCGCACTCAGCACGCGCCACCCAAGAATGATTACAAAATGAGGTTCCTCGCTTCATTTGCAGCGCACAATGGCCACCAAAATCTCCGAATACCAATCCGTTGGACTATTGTGTCTGGAGTATTTTGCAAGGAATGCAAGGTTGGTACTAAAAAATACCAAAGTGTCGATCACCTCACCGGTAATGGGCCAAAATACCGCACAGCAACATTCGCGCAGCGTGTGACGGTTTCACTGGCCGTTTGAAGGCCATAATTCGTGCCAAAGGTAACCAATTCGGACAAATCGTTCCTCGTTTCATATCCACCGCACAATGGCCACCAAAATCTCCGGATTCCAATCCGTTGGCCTTTTGTGTCTGAAGTTGGAATCGGAATGGGCCAAAAATACCGCAGAGCAACATTCGGGCAGCGTTTGACGGTTTCATTGCCCGTTTGAAGGCCATAATCCGTGCCAAAGGTGACCAATTCGAACAAATCTAAACTTATTCTAAAATTTGATGCTATTTTCGACATTTTCTGGTTTCAATCACTAAAATTAAAAAAAAAAAAAATGTAAAAATTATGGCTATTGACTTTGTTGTCTCATCCTGTATATTCGGTATTTTTATGCCCTACACCACATAGTGGTAAGGGTATTATGTCTTTGTGCATTTGTTTGTAACATGGAGAAGGAGGCGAGATAGACCCATAGTTACTTTTGAGAATCTCCATAGAATCACTTTCTGAGTTGATTTATGCATGTCAGTCCGTCTTTTCCGTCCGTCCGTCAGTCCATGTATTCTTGTGAACAAAATGCAGGTCGCATTTATTATCCGATTGAGATGAAATTTTCCAAACAACATTTGTTTGGCCCAAGGAAGAACCCTATTGAAATTGGAGATAATCGGTTAAAATCCAGACATAGCGCCCATACATATCTTCGTCCGATTTGCCTTTTAATTGTACACCAAACGTGTAATATCAGCCCAACTAGCATGAAGTTTTACACATACAACCAAATCCGCAGCCGTAATATGCACTCTGTAACAACAATATTTGGGGAAATATATCAAATGCAGCTCAGAAATACCTTTGCTAAATTTTATCGAGATCGGTTCAGATTTGGATATAGCTCCCATATATAACTTCGTCCGATTTGCCTTTTATTGTGCACCAAACGTCTAATATTTTCCCAAATGGGATGAAATTTGGCACATACGACCGAATTGAGTCTAGAAGCTAGTATGCCAAATTTGATCGAAATCGGTTCAGATATCGCTATAGCTCCCATATTTATTGTTCATTCGATTTGTTATATTTGTTACCCACAGCTGTAATATGCACTCCGTAACAACAATATTTTGGGAAATATATCAAATACAGCTCAGAAATATCTTTTCCAAATTTTATCGAGATCGGTTCAGATTTGGATATAGCTCCCATATATATATCTTTATCCGATTTCAAATTAATTTTGCAGCAAATAGGCAATACAAGTTCGAATTTAAAAGATACAAATGCTTCGGCATATTTAGCCCTTTGAACTTTAAATAATAGTTTTTTTTTTAACTTTTTTTGTCAGTTTTTTTTTTTTAATTTTTTTATGTTCCTTCCAAATGGTGGAGGTATCAAAAGTTCGGCCTGACTTAGCCGCTTTTTTATTTATTTATTTCTTTCTTTTGAAATAGATTCTTTGAGCTAATGAGCGATATGTGTAATATTAATTTGAACATTATTGATTTTATTTTAATAATATTTTATAAAATTAAAAAAGATGATATTCGACATCCGCTACACATTTCCTATCCATTTTGGAACTCTGTTAATATTGCAGAAAAATATAAAATTTCCATTTCTAAAATTCGAAATTTATTTTATTTCCTTGCAGGTGAGAAATAATAAAAAAACTACAAATATTACATTACGACTTACCGATTCGATTGCCTTTTCGATGCGGAAAATTTCCTCCTGCAGCAAGTGTAGGGTTCCCGTTTTGCCGCGATGTCGGGCAAAGGCGGCTGCACAAGCGCTGTGTATGCTGTTCACCCAGTTTTCCAATTCAACCTGGAAGAGAGGATGAGAGTGAGAAAAAACAAGTTCACGATGAAGGTAAATTGATTGCAACGACAGGGCCTTGAGAGAAGTTTTTTTCTGATGGTAGAGAGAGGAAGAAAATAAAAGTATGGCCCTCAAACACACACACACAGACAATGGTAAACAAATTTCCATAACAATTTCGCCTCCCCCTTTCCCCTCCCCTTCCCTTATGCTCATCATCCTCGGCAAATCAGCTCCAGAGCACTGCAACGTCATTGAAGAACATTATTGCCGCCGCTGGTAATGTGTGTAGAAACATAGGCATTTCCTAATGGCAGATGGGTGGGGGGAAGAGATGGGGGTTGGCGTTACGGATGGCCTGATACTACATGTAATTGTTCATTTCAAGGACTAAAGGATGCACAAATGTTTGGGTGTGTGTGTGTGCCTATGTGTAGGAGCGTGTTTGTATAAGGATGCAAACTTAAGTCAATTGTATGCGTTTCTATGAATTTGCTGTAGGGCGGATGTAAAGCCAGGCATACTGGTCGAACCGGGGCCGAAAGAGGAAGGACGAGCGTCCTGCCTATTTCTGTGTATCTGACGTTAGTTTGTTGTTGTTGTTGTTGTTCGCTCACTTGACAGCATGTTTATGTTTCTCCAGTTCTTGCTTTAGTTCTTTTGAATCGTCAGAAGGCAGGCATAAAAGCCAGCCTCTGCATGGTAATGCATTCCAAAGCTGCCTTTGTCACCATGAGAGTGAGGGTGGGGGCTTTGCTCCCCCTTTTTTCTATATGTTTATAACTACTTAAGGCGCTTAGATTATACGATAAGGACATTTTTGAATTGAATGAATGTGAAAATGTATTACATTTATTAGTTGGAGAATAAAGAGCAAAAAAACTGCAAGGACAGGGCAGGGGAGAGGGGTTGTTTGTATTGAGAGCGGGGGACTGGGGTTTTGTGTTTACACACTCGGCTGCAAATAAGTGCCAGGACCAAGCTTTTCAAGCCTTTAAGAGAGAGATGACAGCAGCATACATATGGAGGCAGCAGGCAAGCATATGATGCCAGCCAGGGAGCTTTTCAAGCGGAGCAGTGAGGCAGCCAGCCAGCCACTCTGCCAGCCAGCCAACCAATGTTGTTATGTTGTAAATTTCCATAAACAACAGGGTGACTACAAATACTCTTCCGCCTCAATTCTTTTTGGCTCAACATGAAGATGACATTTGCTTGCATCGTCGACGTCGTCTTCCTCATCGTAGTTGTTGCTGCTGCTGTTGTTTTTGTTGTCATCGTCATCATCGTCGTTTGTTCTTTTGTTTTGTTTTTGTCAATATTGTTTCAAATTCATGAAAACAAGTCACAATGCACCCACTTAGGTTGTATGTCAGTCATCTGATTAAATAGCAGTCAGATGTCAAGCAGTCGTCTAATGTTTGACGAGCAACGGCGAGAGAGATGCGGGAGAGAGGGAGAGTGCGGCAGAGACAACGGATATGTAAACTAACCAAGCAGAAAGGCAGGCAATCAACTGCTACTGCTAGCTGGGCTGGAGGACAGACAGCGAACGTATGCATTATTATTTATTTTTGTGGTATATAATTATATTGTAAAACATATTAGGGGGAGGGGGGTGGTGGATTCACACAGACAATGGCTTATTGTTTTTGGCCAAGTTTTTAAGCGTTATTGATGACACACACACACACAGGGGCATCAAATGCTTCTAAGATGAGTTTAAACCAGTAAAGAAAGTCATAAAGTCGGGCGGGCCGACTTTATGATACCCTACACCACTTTGCTAATTTAGTAAAGCTGCGCATAACAATTAAAAGTTTTTATGGGAGAATTCAATCATACCCGCCATGATTATAGTTATAATTTAAAGTTCAAAGGACTAAATATGCCGAAGCATTTGTATCTTTTAAATTCGGACTTGTATTGCCTATTTGGTGCACAATTAATTTGAAATCGGATAAAAATATATATGAGAGCTATATCCAAATCGGAACCGATCTCGATAAAATTTGGCAAAGGTATTTCTGAGCGGCATTAGATAAATTTCCCCAAATATTGTTGTTACAGAGTGCATATTACGGCTGTGGGTAACAAATATGACAAATCGGATGAACAGTATATATGGGAGCTATAGCTATATCTGAACCGATCTTCAGCAAATTTGACATACTAGCTTCTAGACTCAATTCGGTCGTAAGTGCCAAATTCCATCCCATTTGGACAAATATTAGACATTTGGTGCACAATAAAAGGTAAATCGGACGAAGTTATATATGGGAGATATATCCAAATCGGAGCCGATCTCGATAAAATTTGGCAAAGATATTTCTGAGCTGTATTTTATATATTTCCCTGAATATCGTTGTTACGCAGTGCATATTACGGCTGCGGAGGACTAAAATAACAAATCGGATGAGCAATATATATATGGGAGCTATAGCTATATCTGAACCGATCTTCAGCAAATTTGACATACTAACTTTTAGACTCAATTCGGTCGCATATGCCAAATTCCACCCCATTTGGACAAATATTAGCCATTTGGTGTACAATAAAATGTAAATCGGACGAAGTTATATATGGGAGCTATATCCAAATCTGAAACGATCTCGATTGAATTTGGCAAAGATATTTCTGAGTTGCATTTGATATATTTCCCTAAATATTGTTGTTACAGAGTGCATATTACGGCTGCGGAGGACAAAAATAACAAATCGGATGAACAATATATATGGGAGCTATAGCTATATCTGAACCGATCTTCACCAAATTTGACATACTAGCTTCTAGACTCAATTCGGTCGTAAGTGCCAAATTCCATTCCATTTCGACAAATATTAGACATTTGGTGCACAATAAAAAGTAAATCAGACGAAGTTATATATGGGAGCTATATCCAAATCTGAAACGATCTCGATTGAATTTGGCAAAGATATTTCTGAGCTGTAATTGATATATTTCCCCAAATATTGTTGTTACAGAGTGCATATTACGGCTGCGGAGAACAAAAATAACAAATCGGATGAACAATATGTATGAGAGCTATAGCTATATCTGAACCGATTTCGATCAAACTTGGCATACTTATTTGCAGGCCTAATTTGGTTGCATGTGCATTCGGGCTGATATTACACGTTTGGTGCACAATAAAAGGCAAATCGGACGAAGATATATATGGGAGGTATATCTAAATTTTGACCGATTACCTCCAATTTCAATAGGGTTCGTCCTTGGGTAAATCAAATGATTTGTGCAAAAATTTATCTGGATCGGCAATAAATGCGAACTGTACTTTGTTTACAAAAATACATGGACAGACGGACAGACGGACGGACGGACAGGCGGACGGACATGCATAAATCGACTCAGAATGTGATTCTATGCAGATCATCAAAAGGAACTATGGGTCTATCTCGTTTCCTTTTGCCTGTTACAAACAAATGCACAAAGACATAATATCCTGACCACCTTGTGGTGTAGGGTATAAAAATAGGGGCAGTCTTTGTTGGGAAATTTGTTAGACCATTAAAAAGGGACTTTTAATTTATTTATCACTGAAAATCCCTCAAAGTCATATTCAGAAGATCTTGGTATAACATTTTTTCATCATTATTTCGGAATTAAATAAACTCAATTTCAGGTATAGCTCAAAACAAGTTAAAAACTAACAGCCGAACCCTCAGCTGATATTTGATAATTTAAATATATTTTGACATGTGTTGTCCAACTGACCCTGACCCTTTATGGCGGCGGTTTTGAAGGAGTCGCCCAATATTGGCCATTTTGTATTTGACATAAGTCCATTTACAATGCACCAGTTTCGGACTTCATCGGCCTCTTCATTCACTTTTATGAGATTTGTGATATTTTTTTCGGAAATGTTGTAGTGCGTATGGTATGCCAATCAAATTTTAACCTTTTGTGGCGGTAATAGACAGAGAGTGGGTCGATAAATTCCATATTTACATCAGATTCCTGGTTGAGAGAAATATTTAGATATACCAAGTTGTAAAGAATCGCTTACTTTTTCCGCAAGGTAGGATAAATGTTGGAATTCGTGAAATTCGAATAGAATTAGGTGCTTATTTCGTGTTTTATGAACATTTATGAACCATTTGTAGGGCGGGTATCAGACGGAGTGGTCCGATATATTCCATCTTCACAGTAGATATTGTGTTAATAGAAATAATGGGAAGTGTGAAATTTGAACAGAATAGGATGCTTATTTCGTATTTTTATACCCTCCACCATTCTACGGAGGGTATATTACCTTCCGATATTCGGTACCTTCCGATATTCGGTATTTTGATGATTTCAGCAGCATTATTCACCGGAATCGTTTCAAATTTCGTACTGGAAAATCCTAATGGATACTACAGCCTATGATAGCCCCCACATAACGGTACCTCTCGATAGTGGGTATTTTGAGGATTTCAGCAACATTATTCACCGGAATTGTTTCAAATTTCGTACTGTAAGATCCTAATAGGTACTACAAGCTATAACAGAAAATTGTCTGTGCAAGTCCACGTCTGCGGTACCTCCCGATACTCCGTATTTTCATGATTTTTGCGACATTATTCACCGTAATTTTAACAAACTTCGTATGACAAAAAATTTCGTATGCATGTCCACGTCTTCGTATAGTCCCCATAAAACGGTTTTCATTTAAGTGGTAGTTTTCGGATGATTATTTTTTGACATTTTTCAATTTCCTTTGACATGGTGGAGGGTATTAAAAGTTCGGCCCGGCCGAACTTTCCTTCTTTTTTACTTTTTATATTATAATTTTCTTTTTATTCAAAATTTTGAAGCTTTGTGTGGGGAGGTACAATCCAATAGACATCTTTTTTTCTAATTTCATGATTCCACCCCTGTGGGTTCGCCTAAACAAAAATTGTACCAAATTGAGTACCATTTAGTACACATAAATACGAATTTCCAAAACTACCGCAGTCCTACAATGCAATAGTAATCTTATTACCAAATTTAAGCATTCCAGCTCT